CCGTCTGGGCAGTGGATGGAATGAGATTCACTGCCCCCCTGCGTGAACAATGGAAATTGTAAGGTGGAACCCTTGGAAACAGGGGTTGACACACACACACGACCATCATCTTCACCACCTTCACCACCACCATCACCACGATCCACCATCACCGCCACCCTCACCACCCCCATCACCGCCATCACCGTCACCGTCACCACCACCATCATCCAACATCATCATCACCACCAACGCCAACACCACCATCATCACCACCATCACCTGTCTCTTCAGCCCAGTGCGTCTAGATCTCTATATTTTCTGTTTTTTACCCTGTAGACCTTAGACCTCTAGACACACTGTTTGGGGTCTCTTGCCGGGATATTTTTTTTGGGTGGCCTCTCCGAAACACAGATTTGCCCTTTTACAGGGAGATACATGTTTTGGGCTCGGTGTTGGTGAGGCCTGGTTTCTGAGTCTGCGTTTTCGGTTCCTGGAAAGTCTGTTCGGCTTGAACCATGTGCGGTTCCGGTTTGTTGGGGGGCCCCGTTCGGTTTGGTGTTTGGCGGTTCCAGTTCGCCACGGTTCGGTTCGCAGTTCCAGGATTTATTTTGCTGAGGGGGGGCAGTGGAAATCAATTCAATAAGTCTCAATATACTGTTTGCCCAATCCATTTTTGTCAGTTCTTTCAGTGCCCCTAGTCTGGGTGCGGTGGGGTGTAGTGTCGGTGTAGGTTTTGAAAATCAAATCATAGTTTTGATGGCATTGATCATTTGTTGCTGAATTTGCATGTGAACACGTGTATATATATAATCTTCCATGATGCATGCAGGACAATGCCAACTTGTTGAGACCGCTGTTGCTGCGTTTGGTTGATTCATTGCTCAGGCAAAGGGCATTGCAGCTCTTGCACCAGATGTTGCAGCTTTCCTACAGACCATGTGTGATTTCATATAGTTCAGCTATCAGTTCCTGCACTGACAGTGTCCAGTGGAGTCAAGCCCTTCACTTGCTTCAACAAGCAGCAAGCAGCAGTCTGCGTTTGGATGTATTTACTTACAATGCGACGATAACTGCCTGTGAAAAGGCATCTCTGTGGAGCCAAGCTCTCCTTTTGTTGACCGAGATCGAAGTGACTCGTTTGGAAGCCGACAGCATTTCCTTTACAGCAGCTTGATAGCAAGCTCCTATCCATGACAAACCAAGTTGGACCAACGTGTTGTTCAATCTTCATGTTGCGTGAGGGATTGAGCTAGTAGAAAGAGAAATTTGTTGCTGCCAGGGTTCGTGCCGCCTGCGAAACCCTGAGTTTGGTCATCCCCAATCATTAGTCAGATTCTCTTTGCAGTTAGAACTTGTCACGTCCAGGCGGCAATGGCTTCTTGCAAGGCCGCTGGTCGCTGGCAGCCCACATTGCTGCTCCTAGCAGAAGTGAGGAAGCGTGGTCTCAAGGTAGATGTGTCTTGTCCAATCCAATGAGGCTTATTTTCCCAGAAGCTTGCAGAAGCTGGCTGGCGTAGCTCTTGTTTAACAAGACTAGGACCGAGAGCTAGGTTGACGCCAAATATATTCTCCCTTCACAGGTTCAACACCTCTTGGATCCTCTTGGGTATAATAATATGGTTGCTTAAATGTGTGTATGTTACCTGACGGTTCAGGCCAACACACTGCTTGTATATAGTCATTGCGTTTGAATTTAACAGATTATCTCCCTTTGCTTATGTGTCCCTCTTGTACTTTCATTGATCATGATTTGATCTTGTCTCATTTTGATCATGATTTGATCTTGTCTCATTCTGTGTGGCATTACCTCACTACCGAAGCGAAGCCTATCTAATGTTATGCCGGTCTAGCTTTCAACCTCAGCTTTCACCCGCCCGGCCTCAAATCGGCCTAAAATGTATTGAAGGAGCTGTTGGGTTTTGTCTGTGTGTGACAACATGATCTACACCAATGCTTGTCCACCCGCACAGACAGCAAGGTTGGATCACAGATGGAGCCCGTGACACGCATGAACGGTGAACCTTTGTAAGTGTGTATAAAAGAAGTAACTGTTGTGTTCATCAGGGTACGAAACGTGTTTGCCAGGTTACTATGCAGGGGCTTGTCCTCTCTGCCTGTGAGAAAGTACACAAGCACCTGCTAGCAAGGCAAGTTTTGGCCCTCGTGGAGAACACAATGCTACGGTCGCTCAAACGCCATGGACGTAGTTGACCTACTCGTGAGCTTTCTATTCATGAGCAAAAGAGCGATGAATACAACATGAGAATGGCGAGACCGTTCAACAAAAGGAAGTGTTTTATGCCAAAAAAGGCTGAGCCGGGACCGGCCCAGCCACAGTTTGAGAATCTGAAAGGAGTCCGTTTTGTACAAGGAGTTTTCAATTCACGGTTAACCCTTTCCTCCGGTCTCACATATCCTTTCTTGGATTCCAGGCGAAAGATGGTGAAAGCAATTTTGCCTGTTTGAAGAAGCATGTTGCTTCTTTTTTCCAGCCCCACGTGTGGGGCAGGTGTCTCTTGTTGTTCAAGGCCTTTTCGTCATCCAAAGGATGACGAGAAGAAGAGTTGAGCAACTGAGGTGGAGCTATCACCTTTTTATATACGTCGCGCTCAGCTCTTGTAAATCTGTTGAAGCTTTAGTGCGGAAAATGAGATGAACATATACGTTGTACAACGCGGCAGGGTCAGGGCACCTACTTCCCACTCACAGGTAGCTAGAGCGGGCCGAGCGACGATGGAAATTAATTTGAAGGCATATAATTATACCCGAAGGCCCTAGAGCTGTCCTTTTATTTCTCTAGTTTGGAATCATTTCTCACACCTTTCTGAGTTCCCTGACAAGACCTGTAAAAACCATTGATGTGTTGGATCCCAAATGGTCCAAATATGTTTGCCTCAGCTCATCGGCTTTGAACTTTGAGTTTTGTCATGTCCATGTCAGGCTGGTGGGCTCATCGGAGAGGCGGTCTTGCTGGGCCAGGCCAGTCTCTTGGCGAACATACATCATATATCAAAATATCGTCAAGTTTCCTTCAAAATCTGGGAACCAAATCATTAGTGCGAGCGCTTCTTCAAGGAAGCGTGAGCTATCCTGCGTCCTAGCTAGGAGCTTCCTATTGCTATATAGTAACTATATTCTATGTAGTAGCTTGCCTCCCTTACTTAATAAAGTGGGCGCCTACTTAATCAAGTAAGGGCGGGTTAAAGAACAATAAAACTTCTGAGAAAGCTGACAACGTTCACAACGTGGCTTTTTGCACGTGTTCCAGTAGCTCACAACATCAACGTCCGACTACCAGTTTTGCTCAAGGATGAGAACTTGTTTAGACAACTACAGTGCCACAGCTATGATTTGTGTGTTCCTTCCGAGTTTTTAGTGTGGATGGTGCACCATTCCCAATTTGGATTATAGCAAGGAAGTGGCCTTGACTTCCTGCTTTCATCATCTCTTGTATATATATATATAGTCATGTATAGGTCTTTACGTATAGTCACTTCTATCTTCGAGCATTTGGAAGTGGAATTGGGCACCTCCTTGCCAAGAGGTTCTAGGTATGGTTTCCACCCATCCCACCACAGCCTTACAGGTAAAAGGAGACGATCAATAAAAGCTTAGTAATGGTCAGGCCTTTGACGATCCGAATGTCCTTTTGACCGGGGTTTGGGAGTCAACAGAACTCAGGCCCTGGCAGGTAACTTGTTCAATCCTTCGGCCAGGCAAGCAAGCGCACTGCGACAGTCCGCGCTGTCGGACAGGTGAAGCAGAGTCGATCCGTGCGGCTATGTACAAAGATGTACAAAGTCAGTGTCCTTTGCATATGAATATGTTGACATATGGATGAGCTGATCAAGTACAGGTCTGAGGTGTTGACCATAGAGAGACCTTTCAGGTGGTGGGTTTTGCCATCGACCAGCAGAAGAGCCCAGCTGTTCAAGCCTGACATGTATTGAGGCAGCTCAGTAGGCCCGCGTAGCTGGAGTGCACCTTTGAGAATGCGTTGACCCTCCGATTCCCCCAAGTGAGTGTGAGGTGTTTTAGAAAAGGTCACGTTGAGAAAATGTAGATCATGTACAGTAGCTGAGTTTGAAGTAGCATTGCCGTACAGCAGTGCTGGTAGTCAGTAGTTCAATGAAATCCATCTAGGGCCTTGCGGGAGCACTTAGGCAAGAGATCGGTCAGATCTTCATGGACTTTCCCGAGGCTGGGCCTTTCAGCAAAGCCGACTCCTCGAAGCCTGGAGTGTTGTTTATTGCCTAGGAACAAGGGCATCGCTACTAGTAGCAAGGACGCCACTAGTAGCTAGGGCATTACTACTAGTAGCAAGAAGCTACTAGTAGCTATTTGCCACTAGTAACTTTAGTAGTAATGCACTTGTTACTAGTAGCGATTCACCTGTTACTAATGTTGCCTGTCCGAAGGCTAGGGAGGGCCGCATTTTTGTCGTGTGGTGTTGCCCTTACTTTAGAGAGTTGTCACTGAATTGCCTTTCGTTGGGGTCAGTATGTGTTCTTTAAAATATGGTGTCTTCTGTCAGCTTTGAATGGCTTCTCGCAGCTTTTGGTGGCTCCTAAAAGCATGTTCTTGGGTGCGGCGAGACGCTGCACCCTCCCCCCCCCGACTGCTTCAGCGGCATGAAATCTGCAATACAACAACATCCTCGATTTTCTGGATGCCACGAGACCTGACTTTGAAGCGTGACACCCCTGCCCTGCACCAGTTCTCCCTTTCGTTCCTTTCCTTTTTTGTCTCTCTTTTTTTGAACCCTTATCCTTCCCTGAAAAACACTCCGTCCATAGCCAACCAAAATATAGACAGCAAGGACACCCCTCGAGACCGTGTTCTTAGTCTATTGTGGAGTGCCCAGTGGCAGAAAGTCTGACAAGCAAATTTGGAAGACACATATACTAGATGACTAGATACTGTAAACACGGGATAATCATGGACTTTGTTATGACTTATTGAACACTTGAACATTCAGTGATCAGGAGAAGCAACGAATGTTGCAGCTTGCCACCTTGCGAACTCAGACAAACAAGGCCCTCGGACTTGGACAGAATATCAGCTGACACAGCTTCTTTGTCAGTTTGGTGTTTGCCAGGTTTCTGCATTTTGTTGCTTTGTAACATTGAGCATGAACCGTTCTTGACAGAAATCTAGCACAGGTCCTTGTCGGCAAAGACAGCAAAGAAGACAAGGCTACCAGGCGCAGATGTTTGATTTTTTGGTTGCTACAGTAGCCTCGTTTTTTGCAGCGTGACCTATTGAAATTGTATGAAATTGTATGTAGTGGTTTATTGTTCTCACAATGGAATCCATGTTTGCCAAAGGGAGGACACGAATTGCCTTGGCCGAATACGTTTCAATGTAAATGCTGTCATGTAAATTAAACACTGTCTTCAAAAGAAACAAGGATCATGGGTGAAGGGCCTTGGCCATGCTACTCCAAAATGTCAGTTCATGAATAAGTTTGCACTGAATATTGTTGTCCATTCGCACACCTGCAATGCTACAATGTACCTTCAATGTGCAAATGAGCTTGCCTTGGCTTCACATTCTGCATGGGAGCTAGGTCATCGACGGCAGACAGGGTGTCGAAGGCTGTTTGCCGGATGCTTGACGAACTACTGAAGAGCATGTTTAAAGATGGGCATGTTTAAAGATTGCTAGCCGCACCATGCAGAGAAAGAAAAGACGAGCAAGACCGTTGCCTGTAGTTGGTCTGTAGTTTGTCGACCGGCTTGGCAAGTGAAGTGAACAACAGACATACAGTGCTAAAGTGTGGAATTCTGTGACCCATGTTGAGCCACTTGCCAAAAAGAAGAATACATAAGGGATGTAGAATAAGAAGGTATGGCATGCTATGGCCACGTTGAGACCTTGGATCATGTTTATCCGTGGCCGCCAGTTTGCAGGCGTCCAAAGATACTGCGAGAAGTTCTGACAGGGACTTCGGCGAAGGGAAGTGTTATATGTGCAGTGACTAAGTGAATGGCTTCCAGGAACTAGCCATCTACAATCGCAAGCCTTCGGAGCCAAATCAGTTTTAGTTGTCGCAGCGAAGATGCTGATGTTTCAACTCTTCGTTGCTGGGCAAAGAGAAGCCAACAAAAGCACTTGTGCAGAGATGTATTTGTGTAAGTTTTCTGTAATTTTCACCTTGGACCCAGACACTTGTTACCAAAATCTCAATTTGCTTTTACCAGATCGTGGCAGAACATGTGCATTAGGACATGTGCATTCTGCATCAACAAGAAAGCATTTTTTCAAAACTAAAAGAACCGCCAACTAGTTGCATCCTTCTCAACAGACTGAGCCGACAGCAGTGACACCACAAACTATTTTGTTGTAGGCTGCTTTGACTAAATCCTTCTTTGGGCACATGTTCACTAAAGGCTTACACTAAGACCTGAGCCAGTCTTAAAACGGTGCCTTGTAGATCATATTTGCAAAGACCGTCAAAGTCCTACCAATGAAGCCAGCCCAGGAGCACATCTCACCACGGCGCTTGGGCTCCTTCCTGAAGGGTGACTTTCCTTCAAGGCTAATCAGTCGCTCCAACATTAAACTCAGTTGCATTTGGTTCAACAATGTGTTGTTTCGGCTGCTGAGGCGATAGATCTGATTCACACAGCAGAACTTCGAGAAGTGACAGGCACCAGAAGTGTCCAGTGTCAGGAGTGTTGGCAGGTAAGCAAGAGCGTTTACCCCGTTTACCAGAGTTTTGACATGTTTTGACAATGCTTCATAGCGAAGAGTTTTGCTTGTAAAGTTTGCCAATGTTTCTATCCACTATTATGGTATTTTGGTGCTTGTTAACAGCTGTATATAAACAGCTCGCAGTTGTGTGTGGCGGCAACACCCAAAAGCTGCCACATACATGACATGTGGGTCTACATTTCCAAGCGTGCACTTGCACTTTGCAAAGGCCACGAGGCAGTGGGAGATTGGACTTGCTTCATCGTCACACCGGCATGGCAACCTTGGTTTGATTGTTTCGCGCGGTAGAGAGTGTGCGGGTGATTGGGTTCGGTTCTGGAATCAAGTTCCACATGAAAGTTGCAGCTACGCACGAGCGTTTCAAGTTCAGTGAGCCTTGGGGTAGTTGATCACGAAGACAAGGAAAAAGATAGCAGGAACAAAGGTGCAAAGGCTTACTGGGAGGGTGGGTCAAGTCCTCTCGTTTTGTAAAAAGGTGTCTGCAGTGTAGTGTGCCCATGCAGTTTGGCATGTTGGAGGTTGAGTTGCTTCATGGATGTGTTTGCAAACTTTATTTGGTATAATATATATATATGTATGGATACACAACAGTTTGACATAGTGTGCCCATCATGTTTGGCAATGTGGAACTGGGTCTTCAATGATTTCTGTGCTGCTTGATGTGCTGATCGCAGGTGTCCAGATGAGTTGAAGGAAGCGTAGTTACATTGGGCAATACTTACCGCCGTGGGCTGCAAATCGCATTGCAATGGCTCTGTGAGGTGTGTGCTAGTTGCAACTGGCGCCCGCTTCAAGCAGGTCTTCTGTAAACTGTCTGCACTCTGCAAGGACACTTGCCTGCAATGCACTTGTTCCAGGCTCACCAATTCCGAATAGTTTTGCTAGACTACATCAGCGGAGGAAGCCCATCACGCAGAGTATTGCTGTATAGAGTTTGGCCAGCTGTCAAGAGGGCTCGGACTTTCCGAACAATATTGCCTCCAATTGCTTGAACAAGTGCGACAGTTTGCTTCTCCCGTGCCGGTTTCTGTTCACAACTTTTGCAGCAGGATTGGTTTTCCCATATGTCAAAATGTCGAGGATGCCACCACCAGGCAACAGCTTCATAGAAAAAGGTCCATGACCGCCGACAAAGCACACGCTCGGGATAAAGTACGTACGGTCTGATTGCACCCAGCCCTGGAAACGGTGTGAACAAGGGCCTAAGTCTTAGTAGTGCAAAAGCAAGAAGTTTAAAGGCTCCAGGACTCCAAGCTATGAGATCAATCTGACAATGGAATCCTTCAAGAAAGCAGTACATTCAACAAAACGGTAAATCATCGGTGATCACGAGATTTGCAGGTACGTCAGTCTGCGTTCTGCGTCCAGAACTGATATCCGCACCTAATATATTGCCAGCTTCGTTGATGAAGAAGCAATACAGGTGTCTCCATCCCCTGCTTAAAAATTAGCATCGAAACGCCAACAGGCTTCCATAGGCTTCCTCTGATTCCAAGGGGTCCACACATGGTAATAGGACTTTTGGCGTGGTCGTCAGCAAGAGGATGTCTATGACAAAGAAGATTGCTGCGTAAACAGCGCTTAAGTATTTGTGGGGTTATTCTCTTTCTGACTGCAACTATTTGTCCATGAGTGCGTGTGCCCATGTGATGGGGTGCCTTGTTACGGAAAGGGGAGATGTATCACCTGGCACCATCTCAAGCACCTGTTGTGTCTTATTGTAAATAGGTTACAGTCAGACAGCCTAAATGTGTATTTGTGGCAGCCGCAATTCATGCAGCTTGTAGCCCAGCACAAGAAAAAGGGACAAGGAAAAAGGATGGTTTGAACAGCATAACATAACCAATACGACAAAATGGAGTCCAAATCGGATCAAGAGCAATGCAGAAAGCCTTATCCACTTACTCACCACTCCAGGGGAGAGAAGTGCTGACAGCCTAGGCCAGCGGTCTGTGGGACAGCATCTCACCAGCATGATGAGTTTGGAGAATCTGCAACAGAGATCAACAGAGGTGTGTGAACTGGAAACCGCATTCAACACCAGTGCGGAATGAGGGCGAATGTGCAGACCGTGGTGCCGACATGTCTCTTGACGTGAGGCGACAGTGACTCAACCTCCGAGTCTTCGAGGAGACGTCCAGGGTCACTCGCGCCAGGTCAAAGTGTTTTCCCATGTTTTCCCTCCTGTACGGCCGATTGAGGGATGTTCCTATCACAAATGCTCCACACAAGAGCATGTATACCAAAAGCATGTGCAATATGCACCAAAGGCACAGAAAGCGGACTGGGATCAAACCTAAATTGGAAGAATGGGCAGAAACACAAATCTGTCATGATCTTTTGATCAGAGAATCGAACAGATACCTCTAAACATCTCTAAACAATTCTAAACTTCCATATTGTTCATGAAGTTGCTTGTTTTGGACTTCGCTTTTGCTTTTCAGAAAATATACATAGCTGCTATGACATAGCTGCCTCAAAGCGAGCTTCGGAGGTGATAAATCTGTAGGTTTTTGAAGGCTGCCATTACATCCACTGTTTCATTGATCGTTATAGTGTCACGAGAAACCCAACGAAAGCAATCCATGTGTGTTTTGACTGCAGGAAATCCATGAGAATGTGAGGATGTTTGTCCTCCATACGATCCTGTGTCATCAGGACATCGCCTGCCGGCTCCAAGCGTAGCTCCATCCAGAAGCTGCCCAGTGATGGCAAGGGAGCCCAAAGAGGCCAAATTAGGCAAACCAAAACACGTTCTTTTTGTTAAAAACATAATGGATAATAAGGGTGTTTTCTTGAAAGTGAATGAGTTGTCATGAAGAAATCTCGCAATGAGGATTGTTTTAGAATGCATGCAAAGTGACCCGTGAAGGCAAAGTGAGTTCTTATTCGCGCACAGCAACACAGCTGTAGCTCTCCAAGTATAGATCGTTTAGCAACTGAAACGGCTTAATTAACTAAGCGGACTGAATTTGGGTGTTTCCGAGTGGTGCACCCTGGATTGGAACGGTTGCAATTTGTTTTTGCTGGCTGGGCCGGATTCTAGGCCACAGCGAGAAGCGCGTGACTGACTTGGCCGGACCAGCCCAGCTCATTTTGGTCACTGGAGGGTCATTTCAAGGAGTTGAATACACCAAGCCTGTTGGTGCTACAACAGGTAGAATGTAAACCGAAGTTGAAGTCAGTTTGCAGTGTGAGTGGTTGAGATTGGGGCAGCCATGGTGAACTACAATTACAACAATAAGCCCAGGCATGCTTGACCTGGCACTTTTGAGTGGCCTTTTGTGACTGACTAAGACTAAGTTCTGTGCCTGGACTTGGATGATACGGTCCATACCCCTGGCACTGCTGCGACTGGCTGTCCCACATAGCTTCTTGTTGTACACGAAGGAGGGAACAAAACTGAGATTGAATTCAGGAAGGAGCAGTGATGCTGCAGCAGTTTCACTGGCTGGGAACACAAAGATGGAGACCCGAAATGTGCCGGGTGCCTATGTTTCTTTATGTGATTCTAATGGTTTGGATTTCCACAGAGACACTGATGATACAGGCTAGTCGTTTGCGATCAGAGGAACAAATCAACGAACAGTTTGTATTAGCGTTCACGATATTATACAAACGCCTGGGACTTCATTGTTGCCAGGGATTGCTTCTGCGCGGTGTGCGTGGTGCCGATGCCCCCAGCTGGTTTTGAAGTTCTCTGGGTTGAAGCATGCGGAAGCCATTTTCCTAATCCCGAGGTTTTGATCATGAACCATGAAGTCAGATTGATTACCGGCTGTGCTCAAACAACGATTGAGCTCATGATGATGACCCGTCTTTCCTGCGTCTCTCCCTCCTAAAGCCCTGGAGAAAAGTTAGTGGTAAAGGCAGGTTGGAAACGTGGAGTCAGAATAAGCCAGATAATTATGATGCCCATTGGAATGACTCTCTGACTCTCTCTCTCTCTCTCTCTCTCGCTCGCTCGCTCGCATCCAAGGAAAAACCCACGACAGCCCCAGCTGCTGTTGGACGTCAAGCATCGAGGCCCATGGCTGGTAATGACCAGCAACGAAGGAAGTAAAGAAAAGAGAACATCCGGGTGGTCAGAATCCGGACACATCACTGGGAGAAACAATGAAAAGCATATAAATAGTGTCACTGTTGAATGTAGAATGACACAGCTTCCCCAAGTGCTTCCAAAAGGTTCGTCATCATCATGAACTTGGCATTCATTCCTCAAAAGGTCATATAATGGAATTGAATGGTAAAAGTTTGTAAAAGCAAGATTCAACCAGATTTGTTTGCCCGAACACTTTCTGACTACGTAAAGCTGACTCCAACGGTATAAACATTGTAGATCTATTGCACCCATCAGAACACCTGCAGGGTCAATAACAGGAGTATACACTGCGCATTTGCTGAGACCAAGATGTTGTTTTGCTTGAAATGTAGGACCAGCAGATTCTCAACTAGAACAAGAAGCTAATCAACTCTACTTGTCGAGTGCACTAGATTTCACACTTAGACGTTTCAATAGCCTGCATCGTGAGGAATGCCTTGACACCAGCCTGCCGGCGGCGGGGGGAGCAGAGAGAAGTGGTTGGGTTTCAATTGGGTTCAGCATGGTTCAACCTGTCAAAATCGAAACTAAATGGCATTGGCGCTACAACTGCCTCCAAACTGGCACCGAAGCACACAAGGCGACACTGAGCCTTCCAACTTTCAGATGTATGTGTGGGTGGGTCGTGATGGTTTTTGTTCAAAGCTTCGGTAGAATCGGCTGGTGAGATTGATCGAAGTAGTGTATGCAAAGCAATCACAAGCACAGGTTCCACGTGCCGAGGTGGGTTGCAAAACGCGCGCGTCGAATACAAGAGGTGCGATCCTGACCAGAGGACCTTTTCAGGAAGCACCCGTGAACATTTGTGGCAAGTATATCGTTGAAACAGTCGATACTCCAGTGCATGTTTGATGTCCTCTAATAAGTGTTGAGTCTATATATATATATAATTTATTATAATATAATTGACTTGAAAAGGAACATGTGTGGAATCTACCGGTCTAGAGTCTAGACTCTAGACCTTGGGATGACTTGTGGGTTTGGCTGACTTGACACCACTGGAAGCCCTTGAGGCGCCCATCCGAGCAGAAGCGCGGATGGCCTTGGCCTGCAGCTAAGTCTAGTAAAAAATCGAGAAATACTATGAAACTAGGTCTCGATAAATCCCGATAGATGAAGCGAACGAAAGCAAGAGGGTAAGAATGTAAGATCCTTGAAATGGGACCCAGGGCGTTTGGCCCATAAACCTGGACTTGCCTCGGGTCCAGGCCAGGTGCTGAATTCTCTCATTGCAGTGAACACACCTAGATGTAACTGCTGTTCCATGTTGATCAGCCTGTTCCAACATAGAACTAGAGTAGGAATTGGAGACAGCTGTTCCAAGAATTGGATGCATCTTGAAGGGTATGGGTCCATCGGTATGGATGAAGGGGTGTGCCTCTCACGGATGGCAAAAGCCACCAATAACTAATAATATCTAATATCCAATTCGAAAATTCCTATCATTCAAAAGTGGTTCGAAGTGTTCAATGTTGGAAAGTTGCACGTTGCACTCAATTGATGATGGGAGCTCCAACACTGACTTCAGGCTGGTCGCTTGACTCCGATGATTCCAAAAGGTCAGAGCGGCAGTGGGTGTCAAAGGACCTTATCGAAGGACTTTGACTCGGAATGAGCCAAGCTTTTGAATGCAGGCAGATTTGCTTGGGTTCTGGGCGTGTGTATGCATGAGATTTGAGACCTCAGGGATCCTCAGGGTATGAACCCTGCTTGTTCTTCTTGCCAGTGTTTCTCCCGTCCAGTTTGCTACTTGTACAGTGAGACATGCCAGTCGCTTGAGGTTTATCTAGCGACGAGCAAGCAGTATGTCAAGTTGAGCCCATGCAACTATCATGGTTTGCTTGAAGCTCTTGTTTGTAACCGCATACTGGGTGCGGCGGTATGTTACACTATTGCAATATGATATGGGAGTACTTACATCATCTTGCATATCAGGCATTGATTAACGAAAGTTGAAGTGAAAGGCTTTCACTGAGCACTTGAGCTTGGGCTTGGGGGACAGTCAAACTCCAGCTTTTGAACATGATGAAAGTTACTAATCATGGTCCGGTTGATGTACAAAGTCGGTGTACCTTGCCTGGCCATCAATGTTCAACTTCTATACTTGCCAGATCGGAGCTACATTTGCGTTGATGGGCGGCCTGGAACTCAGCCTTTTGCCAACCGGCCAAAGAATGACGATATGTCATAGTGAAGCTGACAACTTTGGACACTATGTGGAATATGCTGGAAAGGGTTTCGGTTCTGACCTTGGCTTCTCAAGGCCAGCGACGCACAGCTCCAAATTCAGGACCTCAAGGCTCTAGCAAACGGCACCGAAATCATCAGAAAAGCTACATCTCGTAAGGGCTGATGCAGTAGTTCGGCCTGACTTTCTGTTGCTCGCTTGTGGCTCCTAGCTTTCATAAGTATTCACTCCAGGCTGCAGAATTGGCCTGTTCAGCAGGAGGATCGTCTTCCAACCATGTTCCATTGCATTGCGATAGGACTTGAAAGGCTACACTCTAGAGGTTCCATAGAAAGTGTGGTAAAGGATGTGCTGATGTGTTCTGAAGTGTTGAGTTTTGAGCCCAAGCGATGCACTTGTTACTAGTAGCTTATTGTTTCTAATAGCTTCTTGTTACTACTAGTAAGGCACTTGTTACTAGTAGCGATGCACTTGTTACTGTCTACATAAATCTAAATAGCAAATTTGGCAGCAACAAATATTCTGAGCATTGATCTAAGATCTACTGGAAGAGGTGCTTTATTTCACTGTAATCGAAAAGGACATTCGTGTATTTGACTCGCAAGCTCGTCCGTATTGGTGAATGCTCTTTTGTGGCCAGCCTTTGCAATACAATGATATTCCGCGCCTTCTTATATAGTCAAGGGTGACTGTGAGTTCTCAAAAATGTGATTAACATTGTACATGTGTAAAATAAAAGCATCCAGAAGCAAGAGGGGTTGAGAATATTAAATTGAGAGTGGGGAAGTGTATACGAGGTGAAGTAGCTCTTTGTAGGCTGCATTTTGTTTGAGTGGATCAGCACTGAACCTCTTGCCAATTCATTTGGCCTGCCTCACAGACACTGCTGGCAGATGAAAGAATCAGCGATCACCAACAGCTGCTCATTTTAGGGGCAGCAGATGCTTTTGTGGTGGACAGATACTGATTGATGATAGAACAAGGAATAAGAGGCCACCCGTGAGGAGCAACAGTCTGCAGTCTGAAGGTTCAAAGCCATGCGGAACTCGCACAAATCCCGGAAGGATGTATAAACTGGAATTTTAAAAATGATGTTGTCTTAGAATTCAGTCAGTGCAATACAGTAGAATATACTGTAACAGAATGTCCTAGAAAGTTAAGGAACGCCAAAACGCTGCTGCGAGGTATTGAAGGTACTGTAGGTCTATCAACCCGCAGCCCTTCCCGGGTCAGGCTTCTCAGACCAGGCAACTTGGGGCGTTCTATGCAAGACTATGAGGGGTCATAGTGGATGTAAACCCAACAGCTGCCAGCAAGAACTCGGCCTCATGCTGCAAAAACACACAGCTAGTCCTCCAGGACTCAACCACCCCCTGTTTAGTAGTGTGATGCTGGAGTGGGTTAGGTTAAAAGGGCACTTGCTCGAGAAACCTTTGCTGTGTGGTTGCTGCTACACCCCCAACACTGGATTTACTGTAGTATTGAAAGATAGTTCCAGAACTCCCCAGCCCTCCCCCAGGCCAGAATTCTCAGACCAGCCAACTATGTTAAAATACGCAGCTGGTCCTTGAGGACTTAAATCATTGTTATGGTGGAGTGGGCTGCTAGTTCATAGGGACACTTGCTAGATTTGATTTTCCCAATAGCTGCTACACCCTCAGAAAGGATTTAAGCTGAGAAGCGTGTTCGATGTTGCTGTTTGCAGCCAGCTGGCAGTGGGACTTGAAGGTATCTGTAGCCTAATCAGCGGCAAGTCACCAGTTTGGGCACGTCTTGGGGAGTCGACATAGAATGGAGAGATGGTTAACCTATTAAATCAGTCTTTTTTGCAGTGTTTGGAGTGCTGATCCCATTTTGCCAAAGAAAGATGTTTTGAGGTTTTGATGGGGGGTGTCCATGTATTCTCAGCCAATGGTTCTTATTTCTGATATCTGAGGCCCTTACGGAAGCTTTGCTAAGCGAACTGTATATACCCAGATCAGCAGCCGGTATTTAGAACTAGACCATATATATCTGTCGCAGGCTACGTTGTTTCACTCGAGTTCCAGGAATGTTTGAAAGTCTGAAATTCATGTTTGTCAGTCAGTTCATGTTTATAGTTATATATACATATACATACATAATTTCAATGCAAAGATACGTTCGGAGGATGCAAAGATTCAATTGACCATGGATAGATATTCGTGCAGATGCTATATAACTCTGTTATCTTTGTGGGCCAACTTTTGAGGCTCTAAGTTCCCTCATCCAAGGTGCAGAGCTTCACAAAAGTGTTGCCAGAGCTGTGCTGTTTTGTGCTCTTTTGACCCTCCCGCTTACAGGCAGTTGGGGCTTGGAGGTGTTGGAAACTCAGGGATTGGGGACGGAGGGCCTGGGGTCTCATGCTGACAGGCCACACAAGGGAATAAGCCTGAACTTGTATTGCGGCCAAACAGCTTGCTGGCTTAAACATACAACTACAACCAACCACGAATGAGGTGACGGCCACCGAAGTGCAGCTGAATCAGGCATGGTCGTTTTCAAAAGTGACATCAATGTAGTTTGCTTTCCGGGGATCCGACCAGACGCTTCCAGCCAGATTTACCGCAATTTGCTGCACTCCGGTTGGAGGGTATGTCGTGTGTTTAGCCTTTGTTTGGTGATAGGGCCGATAGGGCTCTTCTCAGATTGTCCAGCGTCCATCCATACCTGCACCCTGAATTTGTCCTGAAAAGATACGATGTTTTCGTGAAAAGAGAAGAAACAAAGGTTACTAAGGCGTCGTTCAGAGGGCCCTTCCAGCTTTGATTGCACAACTAGCCGCTGCCAGTGCAGGCAACGCATCTCTATGGCAAACCTGTTTGGCATGAGTCTTTGAAGTGAGGGCACGAGTGATTTGGACCCTTGTGAGCGGGAATTTGGCTGTGTCCAGAAAAGAAGTGGTTCCCCAGAAGAATTACAGTATATGCTTTTGGACTTTCCTGGCTGTAGTGGTTGAGCATGAAAAATGCTAAGAAGCTTGCAGGACGTAGCCAGTTTCGCTTGCTTGAGAGAACTCCGGCAACCCGTTCAGCCTGCAAATGTTGGCAGAGAGCCAAAGAAATTGCTGGAGTTTCAGCATAAGCGCCATGCTTCGTGCCACGCGGTGTAAATCAACATTCGATACAGGCTGTTTTTTGTCGTCGTTATGTCTTGTGAAATTATATGAAATTATTCATACATAAACTTTCTAGAGCACTGTCAACTGTCAGTGCTTTTGCTGTAGTATTGGCACCAATTATTGGAAATTGAAATGATTGAGACTGGAGATCAACAAAACTGACATGGTGATGACGTGAGCTACAAGGTACTACTAGACGAATTGGTTGCAAGCGGCCGGAGAATGCCAGTAGCCGCCGAAAGGTGTTTAAGTTGAGCTGACAATTGATCAGATCACTTCAAATCCAGGGATTTGGTTTGCGGCGCGCAACACGCGCGTTGTGAGGTGACGAAGTCATTTGTCAGGAATGCCAAACAAAAAGTGTGTGAAGAATCTCAAGAAATAGTGAGCAATTTAAACTGGGGTACCAGATGAGTTGTAAACTGAATAAACGCATCGATCAAAGGAAAGGCAAATATGAAACTATAAAAGTTCACATGCTCCCTACTTAGGCACAACCGTTTACTTGCTACCGCCTGAAGCAGCTTCATCAAAGACCCAACTATAGTGGGAGAGTCTTGTATGTTTGCTCACAATATCTTGGAAAGAGACTGATGTTGGGACTTCTTCCTCTATGTATCTCTATGTTCTATGGTTTGTGTGAAGCTCAAACCATCAACTTTGTCACAAAGGAGGATCATGCGTTTTGGCGTGCCTTCCACCGTGTTGTACCCGAAGATGGAAACACGTCTGGCAATCTTTTCCTGGAAACACCATGAAACATGCAGGGTGTCACAAAGATCTATGCAAGATGCCTAAAAGAACTCTCTGACAACATCCGAAGCGAGTAAGTTGTGGAAAATGTTCAAGTTGATACAATACCAGCGGCTCCAGCCGCAAGATGGCGTCACTGCAGCTGTTTGCAGACAATGAAAGGCAGAGAAGTTGCTCAACATCAGATATAGCTCAAGACATCTGAAGACATATTGCCATTGTGCCCTGCTGAACATCAACTACTAGCAAAACAATGCTGTGTACTTTTTTGGTATTTGCAATGAGGAGGCCGATTCAGAAAAGAACGCAAGACAACCATGGATCGTGGATGTGCTGTCACAACTGAAAGTTGGCACAATGGATCTTGTCGAATGCTACCTACTCGATCTATCTCGATCTTATGAACTGCAATTTACATGTAACAACGCCGAGCAGTTTTGTAGCACATGGCCGGATCACCGCGCTTGCAGAAGCTGCACACGCTCAGGTGACCCCGATTTGATAGTGGATATATTGGCATCCGGCAAGACAATGCAAGACATCATTATTTTTGCCAATATGTACTTTTGCAATGAGCTGCCTAAAGCACTAATTAATTACCCTTCTTTGATTGAAAGTAGCTCATTCCCATTTGCTGCATTTCAATACACTATTGGCATGGATGAGTGCGCCGCTGCGACACCACCCTGTAAAAGAAAGAGTTGAGTAGCAGCCCATGTCGTCAAAATGTAAAAATATTCCTGTCAAAGCAGTCACTTCGAAGGCTAAGGTAACTGAAGGTGAAACTGGCGCAAAACTCTTTGTGCAATGTGGAACAACAGAACTCGAAGAAGAAGAAGAAGCATATATAACTGGAACACGCATGATTGCCATTTGCATTCTGAGGGTGCTGTTTGCCAACAAGCCTTCGGCGACCAACAACAAAAGCATCAGGATTAGAAACAGTCTGTGATTGAACAGCACTTTTTGCTGGGGCTGCAGGCGTGGCCTTTTCCAAGGGCAAAAGGTCAGCAGTTTCATTGCACTAATATTTCGAGAAAGGCAAATCGCAAAAGATTCATCACACATTCGCATGGAAACCCATTTAGGCGGAGTAGTAGGCTGTCTTCAAGGTTTGGGCTGGCTTACAGGCTTGGGGAACAAGATTGTATTGTATCTCTGCTTCCAAGGAACCGAAACACCACACTTGAGACAGGAAATCTTCCCTGATGGTTCAACCCTGGAGATGGTGCAATTCCAAGCAAACTCACGTTTGGCCTGAGCGATGTGAAACTTACTATAAAAAGACCTAACAGGCGGTGTGGGTTCTCTTTGTAACATGGACGAGGCAACCAGAACTGATCACCAAGATGAGCTTGACTATATTTTTTTGTAAGCGATAGGAGCCCAAAAGTTGGGGCTTGAGGAGGAGGAGGAGTAGTCGAAGCATAGACTTCGCAACTCACATGCAGTCAAAGAAAAGCAAAGAAGTGTAGACGACTGGGAGCCCTAGCAGAGATGTTCAAATGCATCTCGTATACCCGTCACGGTGAAACCATGAATTCCCACGAGCTTAAGGCCCAGCAGCACGTAGGTCAACGGGTAGCCCACACTTCAGAACTCATCATGGAGAGCATGCCCTGCAAACTGCACAATTCGATCCAAGCAATCAGAAGGTGTAGTCCAACAAAATTGGCATCAAATTAACCGTGAAAGCGTCGAAGACACCGTCCAAAAAGATGGGCACACGGAAGGACACACTGGATTCACTCTGTACAAAGATGGCCGTGGAAGAGGCTAGACACTTCACAAAACTGACTATACAAGGTCAGAAGACCCAAAAAAAAATAAGGCTGCTTGAACAGCAAGTGCATGAGTACATATTGTACATGAAGACCTCAGGAACAAAGCCGCTACGAGTCTGGCATAAGAGACCACATAGTAACTCCAAAAAAGGGCGACATCGTCTACCCCATGGGCAAGATGAGGTAGACCACAGGGGTCATAGGCCATATGCTAATACAAGCAGTAAGAAAGGACGCAAAGCCACGTGTACGCTGTCGCACCTCCCCACAACCCATCATCACCTCCGGCACGTACAAGGGGTCATGGTTCGCAGGTGCCGGAGAACCGATAGGAGCCCAAAATACTTTTGGCATTGAGGACACAAAGGACCAGGGAGTTTTGATTGAGAGGTGCATAAATATTTGCTTTCTCAGTGCAGGGTCACGTGTGCAGTGTGCGTGATGATTCATTTGATGATACAAAATAGATAGCACTTGATATATTCTGGAGCGTGGTACTTGTAGGGCTGTGGACTGTTATTGAATGTTATTGATGTTGATGTAGACAAGGTTTTGTGTAAGTAATATTCCAGTCTACGGTTTGATTTGGGGTACACCTTCCAGGCAAGGTATTGTAAGGTTTTGGTCAGTGTATTGTGAGTTCAAACAGTATACCACCATTGAGCTTGAGACCTTGGCCGCAGGGGTCATGAAGAGCGGGTTTGGCATGTGACATGGCGGCCCTGCTCGTCCAGGCGTGCTTGCCAGCTCCAATGACCCATGACCTCACTTCTACCCTTAGCAGCCTTAGCACTATGCGTTAGTCTCTTTCGGTCTACTGTACCAGACATGCAGGATGGAGGCTCCGAAGGTCCAAAGCCCACACCCTTTGTTGGACCAACAGAGGAGATCCAGCACTCATGCTTTGCCTGCAGGTTTTCCCTACGAAGTTTCAGGAAGTTTCTAGTTTTCCCTTCGGTAGTCATACTGCGGGAGATCTGTATCAAAAGACAGAGTGATATGACCACCCAACAGCAAAGCAATTCAGCAAATCCTGTGTGGTTTGGAGCACAGCATGACCTTATTGTTCCACAAGTTTTGTTTATATAGATCAGATCCCACCCTTTGATACTCCCGAGCACCTCGCAGCGTGGAACTGTATTGATTAGAGAAGACCCACATTTGTCCAAGTAGAATTGGACCAGGAAGGAATTAATCAAAAGCATCCCGAGGTCACTTGTGCACGACACCTAGCTCATTTTTTGGTTTTGCACTTCACTTCGACTGAGGCCAGTTCTTGCTTCTTCAGGCACGGAATCACAAAGTGTTTGTATCACTATCTCTGTCTCCGGAAGCCTGGATTCCATCTCAGGCGTTAAAGACTTATATGGGTTATAGGTTTTTATAGTTCGCAGAGAAATGTGGTTTTGGCCAGGTGCTGACTTGACTATTCGCCTTTGGGGAACTCTGCCAAACAAGTCTGTCAGCAACTTAGCATGTCATTTTGCTTTTTGCACGGTGTAGACCCTACACAGCTTTTGTGTAGCCTGACCACCTAAACGCTCAAGTTGCAATGTAGTTATTTTTGGATTACTTGTGTGCTGACACTCTTCATTGATGCAAGTATCCATGCCACATCACAGGGTGTTATAGGAAATATTGGTATATTCCACATTTTACAAGGCTGCTCGAACAAGTTGCAAGCCAGGCACCGTCGGTATGCTGTAATAACTTTGATAGAGCCTAGTGACCTAGTATTCTAGGAGTGGCATTTGCTTGAAGAAGTTGATGCTTCTGACCATCATAGCCGAACTCTGCGATCCTTAGCCGTGCATCCGCCTTGTTTGGGGAGCCCTCTCTCTACATGCTGTTGCATGTTGTTTTCTATGAGAAGCAGGAAAAGTGCAACACAGGCGCATGTGAGCCATTTTGACTTTGCCATTGATGCTTTGAGCAAGTTGTTGAATATGCCTGAGGCCAAATTAGAGTGATATAGACTAGAAATTAGAGTCCATACGTGGGCGGCTGTATGTGTTTGGAAAAGTGGGGATGTGACGTGTTTGATGCTTTGAGATTTGAGACTGGTGCCAGTGGGACTCCAAGGGCGCAAAGCTAGCCGTGGCCTCCTTTGATGCCTCCCGGATGTGAGTTAGCGAAGCTTTTTGGTTTGGATATGTTTGGGCACCAGAGGAATTTGCAGGAAGAAGGAAGTCATGAGTCCTGAAGACATTATTTCAACGGCTGAATTTGCTGAAGATTTGCAGTATGCATAC